GTCTACACTACCGTCCTGAAAACCCGCCACGTCGCTTTAAATGATGATGGCCTCCTCGCCACTTAATGCTTCATATTGAAAGGCTGGCGGAGAACAAAAATCATATAAGCACAAATTTCTATATTTATTTCATATGTACAGGCTAAAAATAAATTATTTATTTAAAAAAAAAACTTTTGCGCACGAATAAGTACGTACGTTTCTCTTTTTTCACACTCAAAGAGACATCTATTCAGGGCTTTTTTAGGGATGGTTAGGGAGTTAAGGTAGAAATTATTGAAAAATTGCATAATTTTCTTTTACGATCCCACTTAGAGACTTACCTGATACAATTGTTCGTAATTGGTCGAAAGTTAATGAATACCGGTGAAAGAGGAAGGTCGGAACCAAACGACCGGAAGATTATGCCCGATTCCGCTGAAAGTAATAAATTCCAAAATTATGAAAGATCACTAAGGGTACGTGGCCAATTTCCCGTTAACGGGTATCGTATCCGTCTCCTGTGCACGATTTACCATCGGTCAGAGGGAAAAAACGTGAAATACGTTCCCGACCCGTGTTATCCATGGAGCACCGTGACCTCTGGAGTTTCCCCCCGCCCTTGGCATTAAACTTCGTTTCTCTCTTTCGCGCGGGTCGATTTGCTTTCTTGGCAAAATCCTTTTGCCGGGAAATACTACAAGGCTTCGACCTTTCACCGGGGCAGAGGACCCGATACGGCACAAGCATAACTTGAGGGTATGTTGTTTTATGTCGGTGATGATTGCCGCCTTTCGCAACTGGCACGTCGAGCCCACCGTAATCTCTACCTTTAGCCGGTTGTGACTTTTTAAGGGAAAACAAAACCCCTTCCGGCAATATTATAAACAACGGTTTTTTTCTTCCTCCCAGACTTGAGCCAGAAAGATAAATAAAGATTTCTAAATCAGAAATTTATCCGTCTTCTAAATAATACCATTACTCACGGTCGATTATTTCGATTGTTAATATCATTTCATAACATCGTGCTTCCACTATGCCGTGATAACAGTCCCAAACAATCATTAATCATATCCGCATAATCTTTAAAAAATCATTTCAATTAGCCTTTCACTTTTTCCCCCTTTTACCTGTTGTGAAACTCATCGAATTAATTTAGCTATTAATTCGGAGGAAAAGACTGTATTTGTATTTTGTATTATACAATTTTAAAGTCTGTGTTAATGGACATAGGAGTCCTGTAAAACAGGTTTTCTTCTGTGCCAACGTAAGTTTTCTAAATCCTACGATCTTCCGCTTTTTAATCCCTGACGAAACATCCTTTTATTCTGTATTTGGTTAAGGTAGTCGTTACAAATGTTATTAATTGAAAATTTAAATAAGATTTACATTAAATAGAGATAGGTAATGGCCCTTTTTATTATGACTAATTACAAAATTGTATTTTAAGACAATACATAGTAGCCGTCCGAATGGTATATAATTTAATTCAATTAATTAATCGTTATGTAAGGTATAGATTGAGATAAAAAAAGTCAATGTCACGAGCGGGATTCGACCCCACGTCCTTCGGCTAAATACAACGCTGCTGTACCACTCGAGCTATCGTGACTGTCACGCCGAAGGTCGATGGCAAGTTGGTGTCCCAGTGGATCGAAGTCATGATAGCTTTTTTTAACCCACGACCTTCGGCGTGACAGTCACGATAGCTCAAGTGGTAGACAAGCGGCGTATTTAGCCGAAGGTCGTGGGTTAAAAAAAGCTATCATGACTTCTATCCACTGGGACACCAACTTGCCATCGACCTTCGGCGTGACAGTCACGATAGCTCGAGTGGTACAGCAGCGGGGTATTTAGCCGAAGGACGTGAGGTCGAATCCCGCTCGTGGCACTGACTTTTTTATCTCAACCTATACCTTACATAAAGATTAATTACCAAATCTAATGAATATAATTTAATATTTGACTAATAAATAGTTTGTAGAACTAAGACTCATAATTATATAGCTGAAAACCCGAAACGTTGCGAAATAATGCAATGGAAATACAGAGTCTAATTGTACTATTACTCGTATGCATTATTATTTTGCTTATTTTTGTTTTAATTAATTTCGAGATTTGATTTTATTTATTTTTTTATGATGTCCATCCTGATTTTGTGGAACTCGATAATAAGATGATGGGTAGGAAATAAATTGTCTTTTCCACAGTACTTTTTCCTACCCATCATCTTAAGTTTGATATGTCAGTAAAAATATTTGAAGAGAGTTTAATGGGGAAAGATAAGATTTAAACAAATGAGATTTTTTTTAATCATACCTTTTCTCACGAAATGAGTTTGATTTATTTTTTTATTACTTGAAATCATCGTGAACGTAGCCATCATAAAAATTATGAGAACGTGATTCCACAATTTTACTCGATTGCAGCTTTTTTAACATTCATTCTTTATATATATACACTGTATATAAATAAACTGTGAAAGCTTGTATTTCAGTTTAGTTTAGATCACGAAAATGTATCGTTTTTGAGACGTTATGACTGAACTTTGTATTACACTTATTTCGTGAGAAACAAAAGGAAAGTTAGCGAGAGCAACGGTTTTTAAGCTGCGTGATTTCTGATCCTCCAGTAAACAGGAAATTTTCATAATATAAACATTTGCGTACATTATTGTATTCCTTTCCAACAGCTGCAGAAGCAACCCTCATTGGAGGAGGAAACAGCCAACCATATCATCTTCGAATGCGAAGAAACGGCTCAATGGAGATTTAACCTAACATATGAAAAAAATTTAGGGAATCAAATTGCATCTGCGACAGTCAATGACCTGATACTTCTAAGGAGAAGGATTGAGTCTATTGCACTGAACTAAGAAGGTACAATAAGCCAGAAACCCAGCTTCCTAATGTCCTTTTTCACCATACCATACCAACCCTCATTTATCGCTTTGACTGACCACATAGGACCGACATCTCGGTTGGTAATTAATTAGAAATTTTTTTCCTTAACATCTTTAAATTGTGGGTTTAGCCGAGCTTCTCAGAACCAGCCAAGAAAGTCAATGTGAAGACGCAAAGTCGCAGACCATTTCAAAAATTAACGACCTGAAATTGACTATTTTCTCTCTTCCATCATACAAACTAGTTCTTTCGATTACCACTTTTTGAGGATCATTCGAATGGGCAAAAGTTGGTTATTTCACGCTTTATTGCCTCTAAAAGCTCATCTTGCTATCAGATTTTTCTATCCTCATCTTGTTTGTCACACCTTTCGCTAACTTTTTGTAGGTTACTTGATAATAAACTGCACTATGGTTGAATGAAGATATTCGATTATAAAATCGAGAAAGTAAAATTGGAAAATATTATGTTCTTCTGTCAATCTGATTTAACTATATATTGTAATTTTCGAAAGTTCACCAATTGCTGTACTGGTCGGTTACACAAAGTTCACATGTATTACTTTTGATTATAATATTTGTTTTACCAGCTTAGGAAATACATATCCATATGACGGTTTTTTTAAATAAGTATACCCGAAGTGCATAATGTTAACACGTAAATTTATTTTTTGATGTTTATCGATCTGCAGCAAATTAAGTTTAGGTGATGAGACCTTTACAGGTCATATGAAGCAAACACCGGATTATTCAACCATCATACTTTGTATTTATTCTTTTCAATTAATTAAGTTTTGGTTGAGATAAAAAAGTGGGATTCGAACCCACGACCTTCGGCTAAATACGCCGCCGCTCTACCACTTGAGTTATCGTGACTTCGATCCACTCGGACACTAACTTCCCATCTCAATCCCACCTTTTGAATTTTCCCTCCTTTTTGCCATTTTTCAAATGTGTAATCTGTTTGATTCTCGGCGACAAATTTATTATTATTTGTATTTATGTTAATTTTTTTTTTTTAATAAATAGGCCGCGATGATGGCGAAATAATCCACCGAAAGCTCGGCGCAGCCTGAAAGGTGTTTTTGCTCCGTACAACCTCTTAAGAATCTCCCAATTTAATGGAATTTTTTTATTATTATAGCGTAATACAAAATTCATTGGCAAGCCCAGTAGTCAGTTGTTTCCGAAAGTTTTAAAAGTGTCAAGGAGACGACTTTTTATAGACGTGTGTGCTTTATTTGTTTATCCGCTGTGTGTCTTTCATAAATCAACAGAATCTTTTGTAATGCGTGGACGTTCAAATTGAGTAATGGCCAGTGCGAGAGTATTTGCATTGAAAATTGGAAATCTATTATTTCTTCGACTTAACTGCTAATAACGAAAATTCCAACCGTTCCATTAAAAATTACAATTTTGTTCTGGCGTCAGTTTCCTCCTGAGAAATTTCCCTGTCTTCGTTTTGATTTTCGGTAGCTTCATTTAAAGTAAAATTGATAATTGGTCGGAAAATAGTTACAACGCTTAGTTCAAAATGGAAATGATTTATGAGAAAACGGTAGTGAGAATGGAAGAACAAAAACACACAAAAGAAGGTTTGAACCCGGAGATAGATTAGAGATAGACAGAGAACAGAAGATAGCATCAAATACAAGCAGCAGGAAAACATACTGCTGACAGAAATCTCGTTTATAAATCGGAATAATTTCAACAAAATGCCCTTAAGGAAGTTCCACAAGTGGCCATTTTGCTAAAGAATCGGCTTCTCGGAATTCGTTTAAGGTCGAAAATTACATGGTGCTCATCAATACTACTTTAAATGTGCATACAAAAACGGAGTGTTTTAAAAATTTTAGATTTATGTGACGGTGATGATAGAGCTGAAGGTGAATCGTCTAAACCCTGTGAAAAGCTTCCTTTATATGAAGCACTAACGATGTTATAATTTGTAGCCTCAGGCTATTAAAAATTGAATTTCTGATTGAAAAATTATTTAATTTTAGGTTGTAATTGTTATTTTCGTGGCGTAATGATTCCATAGGTGTAATTTTTTACGTTGTTGAGTATTCCTTTTTGTTTTTTATTCCCCTTAGGATATTTTTAGTAAATTAAAACAAACCTGTTAGAAGGGCCACATTGGCGAGGAGAAGACATACTGATTTGAAAATTCCAACCATTATTGATCATGCCTCCCTGTGTAGTGCACAGAGTCAATTCAAGCACACAACTGGGCCTGACTTTGCCAGGCGGCGTCCGACGGTCTCCCCACCGCAGGTGATCGACTCCACGGGGGCAACCGGTTTTCTGGAGGACTCGCCGAAGAACTGACCGCGTTCCCAATCCAGACGTACGCAGGCTGGATAAGGGCACCGAGATGATACTCCTTGTCTCATTCGGTTACGCAATTCCGAATAGTCTGACAATCCTTATCCCGAACAAGCTTTTTTAAAAGACATCCATTTTCTCGTGGAAGGCTTTTTCGGCGGATACAGAAACGCTGTTAACCCTTCTTTCATTTCGGCACGTCGTGTCATAGATCGAAAGGAAAGATGTACATGAAAGTTATGTACTATATGCCAATCCATAATCCATGAAAATTTTTTAAGTCTATTAGTCCAACATGTTTCAGTAACATGCGTTACGATTTCAATCATATATCAACATTTTAATATGCCATAGTTATGTACTTACGTGCATCTTGCATAAAAAGCTTTACACTCATAAAGTTTCACGTAAAACTAGTATTCCACCAAAACAACGAAAAAGTTTACAATTTTTCACGAAGAAATATTAATAGTGCTAGCTAATCATAAAAAATGGGTTGGTAGAGGAATTATATAATTTAGTGAGTAATTTATTCTAAAAGGATAATTTCTGCCGATATATATGATGATCGAGAAACGATAATAAATTTTACCTGAGATCTTGATTGTGATGAAAAAGTTAGTGTCACGAGCGGGATTCGAACCCACGACCTTCGGCTCGATACGCCGCTGCTCTAACCGCTGGTCACGATAGTTCAAGTGGTTAGAACAGCGGCGTATTGAGCCGAAGGTCGTAGGTTCGAATCCCACTCGTGACACTAACTTTTCTCATTTCAATCAAGAACTTATATAAAAAGAATAATTAATTGAAATAATTAATATGGTCAATTATGACGGCTAAAGTTCGACGTTGAGTAAAGTTATAAGTTAAAAATTAATAATAATAATAATGCTTTATTAGTACAAAAAATATTTACAAAACAAAACATATGCCTTAACATAAAATAACGGCATGGATAAAAAAACCGTCTGCGAGGTNATATATATATAAGATTATAATAATACAATGATACTAAATAAAAAGGAAAAGGACTACTGATCATAATTGAATTCCTTAATTAGATCATGACGATACGACCAAGCTTGTGCGAATCTGATCAGTTGCAGACTGTTCCTGCCATTAAGGAATTCAATTATCTGGGCTCTGCTGAGCCTGCTGTGACCTATGGGGATATCTAAATTCCGAGAGGATGGGACATACACCCAAGAAATGGATCACATCCTCCTTTTCTCTGAGGTTACAAAGAGCACAGAGGGGTAACTCGCTTTCTCGCCATGGAGAGTAGTCAAGCTAACTCGCCTCTTAATTTAAAAAACCAGCTCAGCTCCGTGGGAGAAAGATCTGTATTTCTTGAATTAACGGGCAGCAGGGTAGTAGAGTACTGCAGATCTTTATATAAAAGAAAACGGTTGGACTGTCAAGCCGACCGCACACACTCTTCCCGGTAACATTCATCCATCCTTTGACATATGCCCATTAACTGGGCATACCATTTATCCAGATCCTGGAAGTTAGAGTCAAAATGGCATGAGTACTTTTCCGCCAAATTAACCCAGTGTTTGAACCAGAATGTTTTTTTCTTGATACCTCTAAGGCTAGAGAACGAGAAAGGCGGTGAGCAGGCAGATTCAAGATAGGTTAAAACTTATGTTCCTCTTCTGATGAAGATAAAGCCATACAGGATTTGCATCCTAAATATCTGGCATCGTAACACCTCAGATCTAAGTAATCCTAGATATGACAAACACATTCAATAGGACCTAGACTGCCCTTTACCATTTTCTCCTCTACCTAAACTCTTCCTTCCATCAAAGGTCAAATTCATCATCTACTGAAACGTCCTCCAAAATCTTCCAAAAAGCATAATCTTCCTTACATCTCAGACCTTAGAACTTCCTAATCCAATGGAAATTATAAATCATAAAACCCAACATCAAAAACCTCAGCACTTCCCTACGTCATACCGCCCCAACAGTTTGCTAACATTACTTGGAAAAATCTTTGAAAAACCTATATCTTTGAAAGCTCAGAAACTCAAATTCATACATTTTTCATGTTCCTTGAAAGCTGCTTTGAAAAGTTCTTGATCTTTGTTGCACCTTTTAAATAAAAATGTATAATCTATCTTTTCATTTGACAATAACGGAGTGATTATCTTGAAATGATATGGCTTTTTTGCATTTTCTTCGTAACTCAGTTTTAACTATTTGTAGAGCCTTTTGTTGCGAACCGACCGAGAGAAGGTTGATGAATCTTTGAAAAGTCCTAAGACCTCGACGAGACAGGAAGCCTTCTCTTACGGAAGAGAATAAATTACCTTGACGACATAGCCAAAGGAAGCTAAAATTCTTCAACTGAACCCTAGAATTACGACCGTTTTTGTAATGCCCTCACTCTGTTGCAGAACCAGTTACGAACTGAAATAATCTGCAAGTCCGTCATTCCTGCTATCGGTCCTGTCATGTCTGACGTCTTTAAACCCCGTGCCGGAGGGGCAACATTGTTTTACCGTACGCAACTCACCTCCGGGGCTGGATTGCACAATTGGCTCAAGTTCCATATCAATAAGTAATTCAGAGTTACCTTGACCCAACGAGGGTTTCCATCCACGACTTGAGATAGGCGTAGGGCGAATTTGCATTGGAACAACACATCACAGCTGAGCAGATTATGCTGTAATTGATCGACCCGTCTAAAGACTGGATTAAAATAATATAAATACATAAACAACAGATTTGTGTGTTATGAAGTTAATCTATTAGAAAAGAGAATAGAGTTTCCATATAACTATATAAGTTATAAATTAAGATATCAATCTTATTTTTACAATCCATTTTCTTACCTTCTGTACCGTATTGATCAATTTTCATCAAAAATTGTAGCCTGTCTTGAACTTGAATATCTTAATTACGTCGGATAAAATTGGGGCTTCAGCTTGCTTCACATATGGACCCAGAGTCGGTCGATCGGTAAATTTAAGCGATCGCACGATTAGCGGTTTGAAACACGCGGCCAAAGGAACAAATTTAATGCAACTCTCTTACGTAAAAAATATTCGTTTAAAATTAAAACCAGCGGTACTGTGCGTACGCAATGACCCGTGTCTTGCGGCAACACCTTTGGAGTCAGTTAGTCCGGATATTTATTTCATTCTGTTTATAACATTTTTCATTCTTTTTAATTACCTTGCGATGTCGACAGTTTTAATTTTGAAGGATTTTTCTTTAGCTACCATATCTTACTCCTGAATATTTAATGATTTGGTAAAAATTTGTAATTGTACAAATATTCCTATATTTCACCAACTATGGGTCATTTGGGCCAAATCTTTAACATACTTTTTATTTTATTTATTTTAATGACTTTAAATGATATCTTAAACAGATTTTTGATTGTAAAACCCAAGCAAGTCCACCCCTCAGTATCCACATGATAAACCTATTTTTTAGGCAAAACGTTCGCGTCAAAATCAATTCATTTCGCAACTAATTAACTTATATTATCATTAAACCACCCCAACATATTTCCTTTTTTGAATTAATTGGTAAAAATTTGTAACTGTCAAATATTCCTATAATTTTTAAACTGTAAAAATATATTAAATAGATTTTTTTAAATCAATTAATCTAGCAAATTAACCTCTGGATTCACATGATGAACCTACTTTTTAGACTAAAATCATTAACTTTTATAAAAATTTTAAAAACATTAACGGCATATTTCCTTTTTTTTAATTATTCCGTAAAAATCTATAATTGTACAAATATTCCTACACTTTTTAAACTGTAAAAAATATCTTAAATAGTTTTTTCATTGTAAAACCCGAGCAAATCAACCTCTGGTTTGACATGATAAACCTATTTTTTAGACTAAAACCTCGTGTAAAAACCAATTCATTTCGCAACTAATTAACTTATATTATCATTACACCACCGACTTATTTCCTTTTTGGAATTATTCGGTAAAAATTTGTAATTGTACAAATATTCCTACACTTTTTAAACTGTCAAAAAATATCTTAAATAGATTTTTTATCCAAGTAAATCAACCTCTGGATTGACATGATAACCAGGCCGACAATTTCCTTTTTAGAATGATTTGCTATAAATTTTTAATTGTACAAATATTCCTACACGTTTTAAACTGTAAAAAATATCTTAATTAAATTTTTTTTAATGGTAAAATTCAAGTAAATCAACCTCTGGATTTACATGATAAACCTACTTTTTAGGCTAAAAGTTCGAGAAAGATCGATTCATTTCGCAAACCCGTATTACCCTACTTGCACCACATACCTATATCCTTTTTTTAAAATTATTCTGTAAAAAATTGTAATTACAAACAAATATTCCTATAATTCAACTTCTATGGATCATTTTGGCCAAATCTTTAATATCTTTTTAAACTGTAAAAAATACCTTAAATAGCTTTTTTCATGCTAAACCCAAGCAAATCGACCTCTGGATTCATTCACATGATAAGTCTACTTTTTAGTCTAAAAGTTCGAGTAAAAATCAATTCAATTCGCAACCTAACCAATTTGTGTTATCGTACTTGCACCACCTACCTATTTCCTTTTTAGAATGATACCTAAGATTGGCCTGTGTTAAAAAGTTGTATAAAGTGGAATTTTATCTTTAAGTATTGTGCAAAGTAAATTTCTTTCAATGAAACCTAAGATCAAAATTTCATATCAAATGACTATTTGCGTCACCGAAGGTCCACAAGGCGCACCTATTTCGATATTTTCTCAATTTCCTAAGAAGAAATTGCCCTGACACCTAGACCAATTAAGGAGACATTTAACGTCAAAGATAAATACTGATATTTTTAAATCAACAAATTTTACTGGCCTGAGAATTTCAAATATTATTTCTCCCTAGATTTCCTCTTTGTGCATGACTTAAAACTAAG